ATGGCATTTTTATTATTTGATTCACCTGTGTTAGTCTCTCAAGTATAATTTACGATTATTGTGAATAGCAAAACTAAAACATGGTAACATTAACAAAGCAAGCTAAAAAGAAATGTTCTGAACAACCATTAAATGTTCCTTTAATCACTAACATGTGATGCTTTAGTTGTGAAGGGGGAGGGGAGGGGGGCTAAAAAGAGAGGGGGGGCTTATTTGGATAGGGGGGGCTAAATAGAGGATTTATGTTATTGTAAGTCGTAAAATGTATATTAGAAATACAAGATTTTCTTGATGTGCTGTGTACGATAAATATTATACAGCACTTATGGGTATTGGGAGGACACCTGAGAGGCATTGAGTATGGAGCGTTTTCCCAATCAAATTTAATATTTTGGTGTGCACATTTAATTATGACATTTTCAACATTCAGTTACCTAATTTGATCATGCAATATTATTCAATTTCAACAATTTATCATTCAACTTCATCATTCAATTTTTAGATTACAATATTTGATTTATACACACCTAACGTCACGCCTTGTGTTTTCATGGTTGTGCCAATTGCACACCCAATGTGGTAGCTTCATGATCATTAGCTGCGCAGAATATCCATTACTTAGATAAACGATGTTATAAAAGCTTATAAATGCTTCATAGTTGAGAAGTAATCCACTGTGTGTCATGTTCTGTGTATTATTTTTGGTGACTAGTGAACTTTAGTAGAACATAGCAATAATGTTCAACTCCCCCCCCCCCCCTCCCACACACACACACACACACACAATTTTATGCTTCAAATTCTAGTCTGCTGTATTTTCCAATCTTACTGTGCTCTGCAATAACCTGAATTAGAATAGCAAACAAGAACTCTACTGATTTATTTTTGTTGTGCACAAAGGTTACCTCCAATATTGTTTTTTCAAAATTACAAATAAAAATAAAATAATAAAGTCATGCCATGATCTTGGCAAGAAGACCCAAGATTTTGTACATGATCCTGGCAATGTTATCTCTAAGACCTTCAAAGATCTTGTGCAAGAACTTGCAGGGTCTTGCAGGTTTAGGCAAGATTCTTGTCATGATCTTGGCAAAAATCTAGCAAGGCTTTGTTCTGATCTTGCCTAATCTTAAAAAAGGTGTTTAATCTGGGTGACAATAAAATGTCTTTGTGTTTGACCCAACAGATGAAGAGGTCAGCATGTTGGTAGCTTCATTTGCCCACAGGAACATCCTGTCACAAGACATTTGGTAAGTCAGCCTAGAAGACTGGTACGATTAACATTCAGGTTGTAGTGCCCCACAGTCAAAAGATAAACATACCTTTCTAATAGATCTATAATATAACACTCCCTGTTTTTTGAATAGCTAATGTAGAGTCTTGAATCACTAGAATCATTCATGTTTAGATTGACTAAGTGTAGGTGGAAAAAAATAATTCTATTCGTAAACTCTGAATACTATTAACTTATTATCTTTAGCATGAGTAGCCTTTCTTTACTTTCAATGGGTTTCATACTTTTTATTTAAATTTTTTGATGCTCTGTTGCTAAGCTACATTTGGTTTATGATTTCCTTGTTGCTGGTAACTGCTGTGCTAAGTATCTTTTTAACACATCAGCAAATCTTCTTTTTACCCTGGAATTATTTGAAACTGAAAGAGAGGAAATTATGGTAAAGAAAATCAGATAGATATTGGGGTTGATGCTTGTCAAATTATTTCATTGCTCCGTAACTGTATTAATTGCTTTTCTTGAACTTCAAAACAATTTGTTAATCGTTGTTAGTTTTTTGATTATGTAAAACTTCAAAACGCGTTCACTGCCCCTCCTCTGCAAGGATCACCATCCAATCCTTGAAGTATTCTTGATCATTGTTTTGGCTGGCTATCTGTGTTGGGCATATTTTCTTCTTAATGTCAACACTGCCTTTGTGCCACAGGTATCTCAAGTGTATGAGATAGAACTGAAACACCAGTGCGCACATGCGTTTTGTCCCATTTCCCGGTGCAAGCATATGTGCGCGCATTATTTTGTGGGGAAATTTTGCTCAATGATATGACTGAAGACAGCAGAAAATCACTATGCTGTGCTCAAATCTGGGATGCGTTTAATGATTTTATCTTTGTCAGTCAAATAGGCATCATCCAAGTAAACCCAAAGGTTTCATTATTTCAATGAGTGTGGTGTTTTTCGCTTCTGAATTCCAAGTATGTTTACGCACACAGGCCTCAGTTTCAATAGATTTTCTGGTAATACCAAATAAGTTTTAGATAATAAGATAGGAATTATCAAAGAATAACAGCGAGAGCAAAGATTCGAAGACTAAAATAACAGATACGTTTGTGCTCCACTGATTTAAAGCCATGTCTTTGGGTGATTTTTAAACGAACTACAAGAGTGCGCAAGCGTTTTTGTTCTCGATGTTGCGCAGAAAGAGTCTATTTCTTTCCGTCAATACTAGTGAATTGAGAGTATAAAAACATGGGAGCAGATTTCTTGAATTGGTTCACAATTGTCTGTTGCGCACATACTGATTTCCCCGCATGACTGAAAAATTTGCCGTATGGGCGTTGGGTGCTGTGATGGGCATATTGTGATTGGATTATCAGTAAAATAGCACACTGTGATTGGCTCCATAGATCTCTCTCTCGATTTCCGCACCGCGTGACTCGCCGAACTATGTCCGTCGACTGTTCACACACATACGACATATGCTCTTGTACACAGGGTATGCTTACCGCTCGATCTAATCTGTCTTTGAATACCAAAGGAATTTTACCAACCTTTCTCGTTACTGCGCATAGATCATATTATTGCAACAGTAGAAGGTGGCGCCATTAAGACCCGTATCATCACCACGTCCTTAGGGTTTTTCCACTCTGGTTTTGATGCCACAGATGTAACTACCCTCTGGACAAGACACGCGGTTACTCCAGGTTTCCCAAGTCATGCCGTCCATTGTTCATTGTTTCTTTTCCTCTTCAATCATCGAGTTCAATCTAATGCAGCCTACTTCTATTGTCGTTTCCTTTTACCTCCCCTACGGTAACTTTGGGGGGTGGGGGG